GATTTCAGAGATTAAGAAGGAGGGGGGGGTATGAGCTACTTACAGACAAACTTGACGTCACAAGAGGAGTCGCCATTGATGACCGAGTTTCCCCCATCCACTTTCCACTTGACTCTCAAGCTTCCGTCCTCAATCACAGACGACGGGATCGTTACTCGGGTTTGAAAGGCAAAGTTGGTCTGTGCTGCGGTTGTTAATGTGCCGTACTGAGTGATAGATACGAATACATTGTCATCGTAAAGTAGAGAGATCATTCAAAAGCAACAATTCTGACGTACGTACAGCTGGGCATGCAAAGTCTGCACACACACAGCGTGGCGCTCATATGACTGTATGCAGTTGCGAGCGCCGTAAAACCCTCTATTAAATATTTTTTAAAAACACACACACAGCTACGTATAGTAGATAGATAGACTTGTTTTAGGGAGTATAAACTGTCTGGGATATTACTCAACACATTAAGTTAACAGATAAATATATCATATTTATATCACAGGTTCAGAGAAGAAGTGTTTACATGTAATAGATTCAGAGGCGAGATATTAATTTATTGTGTGTAATCATCTTGAGCGATTCAAGAGCCTGCACAGTGGGATTTTTTTTGGTGTGTGTTGTTGTTTTTGTTGCTGTTGTAGTAAGAAGAAGAAGAAGAAGAAGAAGAAGAAGAAGAAGAAGAAGACCATTAACATTAAATGATTACTATGATTAGCACCATTTGTACTTACCTGCAGTACACCTGGTGCCAAAGAAGCCCGGCAGACAGGAACAACTGAAGCCGTTGCTGTCCTGCTGGCAAGATCCGCCATTCAGACACGGATTGTCGCTGCAGTCGTCAAGGGAAGCTGTTGACAGACGGGGAAAAAATCACAGGCAATCATTGCAAATAGCAAGTTGGCAGTTGGCGGGTTCTCTGGGGTGGTCTCCTCCTTCTTTCGATCCTATCAAACATCTGCGGTCCTTATCTCTTCTCCTTTTTTGTGTGGGACGCTCAAGGTTTAAAACAGGAAACGACAAATGCAGTTTTGGGGACACATAAATAGACATAAGGGTCTTGAACATCTAGCTCTCGTAGGCAAAACTGAGGGCAAGCGAGGCAGGGGTAAGCCCAGAACAATATACTTAGGGAACCTAAACAAATGGGTAACAGGGAAAGATCTGGGAAACGTAGCTTTTTTAGAGCATCCGAGCAAAGGAATGAATGGAGAACCATGATCGCCGGTGTCTGTCTCAGATCTGGCACTGGATGATGATGCTGCTACTCTTTTGTAACACCTCTAATTCAAATCGTCGGCACTTATATGACCTAATTGTGTTACTTGTGGCGTAAAACTCTAAATAAAACTAGAAAAAAACAAGTAAATAGCATTTATTGTGTGGCGTTGGGATGAAGTCACAGGCGCTAGTCAAAATAATGAATTCGGATACTAACACAAAGTCTGGACTTTGGAGAGACCCGAAAGAGTAAGGAAGTATTTTAAATGACGTACAAAATTAAAAGTTCTGTTCTCCGCCGTTGATCCCAACAGAATTCTCGATTGTATAAAGGGCATTTGTGAGTCAGCGAGGTGAAATCAGGCGCTCGTCAAAATAATCAAAGCGAAGAAACTGGTATTTCCGCAGGTTTGTGAATTTTCATCTTATTTTGGGGGGGTTTTTTGGCTCAACGCCTTCCATGCCCGTTTAAAAACACATTTCTGTGTGGATCTTACTGAAAAACGTTGATAAAAGGCACAACAAATGTAAATTTTCCGTTTCAACGGACTTTTAAGCTAAGGAAATAACTAATCTTTGGCTGCCATTTTCTCACTAATCTTACCTCTGAAAACAGGTGACCCCCACCTTCTTCATTCGCAAATATCTCGACTTTTATTCAAGATAAATAGATATTTTTTTTCATCCAAATAAAGACAACAGAACAAGCTTTAAGATGATACCAATAACTCTACATGCCCAAAAATTGACGAGAGCCTGATTCCACCACGCTGCCTCACATTTGCCTTTACAGTAAGCTGTGAATACTGTTATTTTGAACGAAACGTAAACTGAGGGGTTTATTTTAACAGCCCAACATTGAGTTCTTGGGAATAGCACTTTACACGAATGTTCCCAACTGGCTCGGTCATGTCTGAGATGGACGATACATTCAGAGGTACCTTCTCTTAAACAACCTTACAGTACTGGAAGGGGCGTTTAACTTATACAATTTCGCACATTTTTCCGTCCTCCTCGACCTCCCCC